ATTTTAACCATCACTAAAGTAGGCGAATGGCTTTACTGGAGAGCAAACACATTTGAACGACGTGAAAGCACGGCGAATGGAAAACGCAAAGAAAATGAACGTTGAACAAGCACTGAATGAATAGTGAGCAAAGATCAAGGATAAGGTTAATAACAATAATATGGCCCTGAACTTGACACTGGGGCCACAGCAAACCAAACTTATTTTACGATATAAACTTTTCAATGTTTCTTGATTAAACAACGTTCGATTGTTTTGCATGACCATTGAAATAGTTTTGTATTGAGATTTATCTAAGTAAGAATCAATCTAAGAATCAGTTTCTTAACTTCATTAAATAAAGATAAATCTTTTTTTTAAATATTGTTTTCGTATTTTTGCTCTCTTGATAGATTCTTTTAAATTTCCCTTAAATTGCAGGAAACCAAAAAATTAGAATGTTTGAATCTTAGCTATATCATTCTTTAAATTTATGCGGAATACTAACAATAAAAGAAAACCTGCTAACACATAGCAGCTTTTCAATAATTCTGGAAGTTTCTGTTGACATTACAAGGGTAAACTACATGATCTGACAAAATTATTTCATGAAAGTCTGCTAGCCATGAAAAATGCATTTACAAGGTCAAATAATTTTATGAAGAAATAGTGCACGTACCCTCGCTTATAACTCTTGTGTTTAAACATGACAACTAGAGTTTCCATAACCTAATTTTAAAAGACCTACAATATTAAAATTCAAATGACGTCACTGCATAATCGATTTGGCTTATATATACTGCGATACTGCATAATTGATTTGGCTTATATATACTGCGATGCTGCATAATTGATTTGGCTTATATATACTGCGATGCTGCATAATTGATTTGGCTTATATATACTGCGATAATCGCTTATAGCGAAAGAAATTCTGCTCAGAAGGATCCCATCGTGTTTGAACCAGGAGGACAGAAAAAGCCAGCTGAGGGATGAAATAATGAAAATATCTATTCAATCTGCCACCAACAGAAGCAGAAGAACAGACACGCTTGATGTGTCAGAAGTGAATTCTTTACCAGATAAAAAGTTTGTTTAGAATTATAATGTATAAATATCGTAATTTATGCTAAATAGACGATTTTTAATTAAAATATTTCCTACGATCATCACAACGAAGAAATATTGATGGAATATCAGACAAATGAACAAAGGGAAATAAATTGATGGCAAATCAATGTAAAATAGACCCAGCTGAGGACTTAGTACTGTACATTAAAATGTCATTATACATGTACTTAGATAGAGGTCTTACAGTCAGGTCCATCCTGTCGTTTCAGTTAACGATGGCTTTTTTTTGGTACTGTTCAATATATAAGTGGAATGTTTCACATAATCGGCTTATAAGGTTTTATCCGAGAAATCCTGCGTCGCCTGCTTATGCACCATTAAAGACATACAGAAAATTAAAGGACGGTCATTTTTTTATATTAAATATCCTACCAGCATTATATTTCAAGCAGAAAAGGATAAGAACATCCACGGATAGTAAGACAACGATAAATATTTATCATAAAAGCTACATCAAAAGAAATTCAAGTAAGAATGAATAATTAAACTAATTTTTATTAAAATTAATTTATTCATTTATTTCAACAATCCCCCAGATTCATGAGTCCAAGTCGTTATATCGGTCCCGATTTTTTCAGACAACCTTTTTCGTTTGGTCGAGAGAACCTAGTATTGTTTGACCTTTTTCCTGAAAACTAGAAAAATATCTCGGCCGACGGAAGAGACTGAGTGATGTTCTGATTGCTAACACAATGCCTTTGAATTGCTATTTTGAAATTGTGATTAAATTTAATTACTACCTTTTGAAAGAAAGTGACATGAAGATATAAACATGTTCATGATGCTACTTACCAATGCCCTACCTTTCAAAATTGTTGTTTTCGATTTCCAAATTACAAAGACGGGCTATTCATAAATAGGCAACGAGTGTGATTGATGAATATAATCATATCAGTTTGAAATTTGTCAGCTCTGCAGAACGAAAATATCAATAAATCGTGTTATGGTTGAAAAAGACTGTAACTAAAGCATGTTGAAAAAAAAGTTAAAAATGACACAGATGTGTCTTACGTTTAATTGTTCTTAATATAATGGCTGATACTTAAACTCTCCAATTCCAAAATAAGTCCTCGTGAATAGAAGGGAATAATTTTATTGGTGATGTCCTTATGGACAAAAAAAGGTATATGTACTGTTTCTCGAAAGTGAAAATAAGTACTTTAAAATTGCACATATGAATATATGAAACCCAATCCAGGTTACAAATTGTATGAACGATAAGATATTGCCCCAACCCATATATCAATGATATATGTCCAGTTTAGTGAAAGAGAGAGTAATGATGATTTAACGATCTACAAAATCTCTCCAAGGCATTTAAAACACTTTGTGAAATAGTCGTATCAAAATGAGCATACGAAGGCTACGAAAGTTATTCGCTGAAATATTAATGTATGTGGTGATTTGATAGAATTTTGCACGTACACAAAGGTTTCAGGTTTATGAATGCTTTTGCATGTGATTTGTTCTAATTACAGACCGACACTTGAAAAATGTATTTGAGAAACGGAGTGATGCGTGATGGGAGATCACTGATGTGGGCTTCAGGATCAAAGAGGTAGAGTATTACTACGCCGAGGAAAAGTCTAAAGTTTCTCTGTAAGAAAAAATTGGTATCGAAGATAGCGCCACTATCGACTGCGTCGTAGCCTTGTGCAGCTAAACGAAAAACTTTCTACCTTCTCTATAGTACTGCACAAAATCTACCATTTTTGTATCAAAGTAATCAAATTAGGCCTATATATTTCCAATAAAAGAAAGCATTGTATACACGGTACAGTTTACAGGACTTCCAATAATATTCGTTTAAAAAATAGAGGTCATAGAAAGAAAACAGATATTTCTTAGAAACACAATATATGGCCAAACTTTTCAACAATTTTGACAGAATGAAAGTTAATGAATACAGTGTACTTTGCAATTTTAAAAAAAGGTTATTAATGCTAATTTCCTCCTTTACGGAATTTAATGACATAATGTGCTGTAATTCATTGAAAGTAAACTGTTTCAATCCAAATGGAAAGGACAGAGATTGGCACACTAGTAGACTATATTAAGATGCATAATTCTCTTTATCGTGTTTGATTTTGGGGAGTGTTGATGTTATGGTTACTAAAAATAAAAATTCCTGTGATTTACTTTCAAATAGATATTCCTCATACAGTTTTGGTCTGATTTCAATATGACTTGGCATACAAGGATATTTCAAACTCAGATAAATAATTCTGTGTATCGGTTCTGATTTAGAATAATGGTGTTGCAATGATAACTAGAAATAGAACTTTCTGTAAAATACTTTCAAAATGCTCCTCCTCCTAAACTTCCCATAGCAATTTTTTCTACGTTTACAATGAATTTCATTAAATATTGAAAAGAATTATAAATTAAACATTTTAGGTTTAAAGTATCTTCCTGGTGTAAAATTACTGTCATTGACTAGATTTGTTTCCTGGTATATGATATTTTGTATTTTTTGTAAAGAATTAAGAAAGAAAAGTATGACCAAATGAAGTAAAAAAAAAAAAAAAAAGAAATAAAGAAAAAATTGCTATTTGGGGTTCCATTACTATGTTAATACATGACTTTCCATTCTGTGCATTCATAAAAAATACAAATAAGTACAGTGTATATGATACGTGTATATTAGACTTACTTGTCAGTGAGTAAGTGTCTGGCTCGTGGAAATGCATGTATATGTATCACCCTTTTAATTTACAAAAAATTAATTAGTGTTTTAATCTTGATTTCTCATTTAATTTGATGCTGAGATTCTTAAACGTTGATAAATCTGCGATGACAAGTAACCTTCATTTTTTTTCCTTTTGCTTTCTGGTTTCATTGCCCAACTACCGTGCCTAAAACGAAAATTTGAAATACAAAACACTATTATTAAGTGCAGTACATCTATACAACAAATTAGTTAATCATATTTTGATACAATCACCAGTGACATATTTCGGAACACAATTATCTCATTATTTGAGTGTTGTACCTTAGCTTGTATGAGTGAGTTCTATAGGTTAATAAGAGCCAGACATAATCTAAAAAAAAAACAAAATCTAAATTTTATTTTTAAAAAAAACCCACGTAAAAACATCACAGAAAGTTCGGATAAATAGTATGAAAATATAAATCTAGCTTGTTAATTATTGATAAGTTAATGGTATATTCTCTTTTTGCCAATTCTCCTGTCACACATTTGAAATTTTTCCTATTTTAAACACCAATATTCTTATTACAGACATTATTCAAAAATATCACATTATATATACATATTAAGTTACACTGTTCGACAACCTAATAAAGTTTAATCATGTGAATTGCAAAATCCAAAGCATAGCAGACGCATTGATTGGTTGATACTTTGTTTCCTTCAGGTATCTTTAAATATGTTAAACTCAAAAATCATGGTAAAGATAATGATTCACATTCAGAATAGTCAAAGACAATGGCATAAATAACTTTGATAAAAATCAACAAAGTCAAAAATCACACAAAGCCTACTAGAATGTAAAGAATCACAGTTTTAAAAACAAAACTTTAAAATTTTAACTCAAAATGAACGGAGCATGCAAGTCTTTGCGAATAGAAATAATCTTCATCCATCGGTGGCGTATTCGTCTGAATTTTAAGTTCCTACTTCAAAAGTATCTACAAAAGTGCGTCTAATTTGCACACTTACATCACCATTATTTAAAACGCAGCAGAGCAGACACGTTGGTAAATCAGATGAACTATATATAAGAAAAGTAAAAGACTAAGGAATTGCAATGGTATACACACTTTTTTAAAAGCAATATCTTCAGAGTAAATAAATCACACGAAGCTAACGCGAATTTAGGAAAATCAGTATTTATGTACTTTGATAAAATAAAAAATATAAAGCTAAAGTTTAAAGAAATCCCAGCATCGTTCCTCATTTAAAAATTAGAAAAAATCATCAAAGTCTTCATCTGATTCAACAAAAGGTTGTCTGATCACCACGCTTTCACCTCCATTTTTAGTGGTGAATTTCTCCGCTGGCAGACGATCTTTGCTAACCTGGTTGACCTTAACGTCCTTAATATGACCCTCTGCTTCTAGCTTCCTAAACACCCAGAGACGACGGTTGTCTAGGGTGTACCATTTCCCATCTTTCTTACAGACTCTCATCCTGGGAATTTTGTTGATGACGTAAGGATGCTTTTTGCACACACTGACCGTAGAATATATTGTATGACCATTATCAAATTTTTCCTTGATAGAATCTTGACTGAAGAATATTTCTGAAGGCTTCATACTTAATCAATTTTCAAACGGATAGTTTCGTTTTCGATTTAAAATTTGTAGAAAAGCTTGTGTTCGATTTTCCGATATCGATGCTTTGTACATGCATTTATTCAATAATGAAAAGCAAAATAACATACACTCAATAAACATTTCCCGTTAATAACAATTACAAATGACTTTCTTCCTTCCTGTTATATTATTGATATATTGATTAAATTTATATTCTGGTGACAATAAAAATTACAATGGGTTGCAGATGTATATAAAACACTAAAAATGTATTAAATCTATGGCATGTCAGGTGATGCATATTGTTCAGGAACCTACGGTTGTAATCTTTCCAAACATTCTGCTCTACAGGTAATAATAATTTCGAGTCAATTGTTTCCTGTTTATACAGAGTGGTTAGATATATACTGGAATTTTTACATTCTGAATAGACCATCATGATAGTCCAGTATAATACATCCATTAAAAAGTTTTACTTCAATAGAAATACGCAATGCATCTCTCTCTCTCTCTCTCTCTCTCTCTCTATATATATATATATATATATATATATATATATATGATATGGAATTGTTTGATTTATATCAAAAAACTGTGAAGAAAAAATCCTCTGCTTCGGTCTTTATTACTAACATGTGGAGGAGTCATAATCTACATGTACACGCTTGTAATATGTTAAACTTGTATAATGAAAAAAGTTCAAAATTATGTATACATGTTTTCTTTGAGTACTGCAATATAAAATTTATTGATGAAGATTACAAATACCTCAATGTTTTAGTAATGTTATGACATTAGTCACAAAAATATTCTCTTATTTTGTCCAGAATGGGTCTTCACAAATTTTATTATAATGAGTATTAATTTGTTACTAGTTAGAGTATTTGTATGCCATCTAATATCTATTGACAATAAACAAAGCAAGTTTTTTTTTTTCAAGTTTAGCATTTCATTAAATAATCACCTTGTGTTATATGATGTTATCTCTTTTCTTTACAAGACTATTTTTACCTACATTTCCTCCCAATCTTCAGTAATAAGTAACATATTTTAATGTACTTTGTAATAAAGTCACAATACACAAAACACCTATATATATATCCTTTATATATTTTAAAATAAAGGTCAATAAAAATCGTCAAAAGAATCATCACCATAGGAATAAAAAATCATCATCGTCAGAATCGGAAACTGGGTCTCGAATCCTCACACTATAACCTCCATTTTTAGTGGTGAATTTATCCTCCGACATCTGAGCACTGCTCACCACTAAGACCTCTACGTCTGTAACGTAACCTGTAGCTTCTAGTTTGCGAAATACCCAGAGTCTCCGGTTATCTAAGGTGAACCATTTACCATCCCTCTTGCAGACTCGCATCAAAGGAATATTGTCGATTACGGAATGGTCTTTTTGGCACTTCAAGACAGTTGAGTATATCGACTCTCCATCCTGGAATGTCTCTTTTATAGAATCTTGACTGTAAAAGATTTCTGATGGCTTCAATCTGGTTGTCATCTTCGTTTTATTTACTTTCGATATCAATACAAAGAATTTAGTGTCCCATATCAATTGTAGATATCAGTGTGGTGTTTTTTAAAACTGATTCTTTCGCTTTAAATTACCTTACCAATACTAGTTTAAAACAATGCATAGCTTTTTTGTAAGTATGCAGAAACCTTCAAGACTATGTAGACCTGAACTACGTAAAAACACAGAACTTTCGTTTAAATGAACTTTGATTTCATCAATATATGTTTAGTATTTGCTACTAAAAGTCGCTTACAAAAGTGATCTGTAACTAAGTAAAAACAAAAAAAAATTAACATAGAAAAGCTGAGTAAAACATTACTTTGTAAGGTCATCAAGTACAATCTAAATTACACATTAGAATTTTTTTATTAGCAAATCTAAGTTATGCTAGTGTCAACTGATGACTAAAGAAAAGTAAAACTAACACAAACGTTCAAGTCTGTTATGTTTTTGTATGTATATTAAAAAGCTAGTTGCATTGGGATGGTGTATTAATTTACAATAAAAACACAGCTTAAGTTTTGTTTTTTCAAACAATTTTGAAAAGGCTTTCAAGAGAAATGTTTTTTCTGTAAGACTTTATGGCCAGAGTTGGTATTTTCATATGAGCTCAGTGTAGCTATGAATTGGATGACCATTGGACCAATTTGCGGTTTTGCTCTAGAATAAGTTATCACAAGGTTGATAATTTTATTCATCACTAATAAATGTATGTATAACTAGAGTGTTCCAAGGAACGCATGTGTCGCCTGCTTTATAGCATTGTTAAAGATGTAAATACAGTACTCTTAAGAGTGGTCACCTATTTATTTACATTTAAAATTTTATGCTACTGGCATTAGAGTTTCATTTACTTGCAGAGAAAAAAATACACGGATACTTTAGACTGTGATAGAATCTGACAATCAAATTGAACTTTGATTCCCCAACCCTCAGAGCTAAAATAAATAATAAATCTATTATCTTTTAATACATTCAGTCTAACCTTAACTGTAATTACCAGTCTACTACGATCCAATCTGGAATACGGATCCCGATTTAAAATTAGAGCTTGTGTGGTAACTGTATATTTATAAAGTGCAGTGTCATGAGCTCTTAAACATGAGATATAAACACTAATTATCAAAACTCTCAAACTTTAAAAAGAAAATTATTTTTCATGATTCATAACAAACAGGGCACGTACTAAATGGGACCGTCACGATTGCTCAGTCGGTAGAGCGCTCGCTCCATGATCGGAAGGTCGTGGGTTGGCGACTGAAGATTTAAAAAAAAATTAGGTTCATTCGCCAAGCGCACGGTACCTTGAAGTGAAAGTTGTGGGTCTTTCGGATGAGACCTTAAAACCTGAGAACCCTTGTCATGATATGCTTTAGCATGATAAAGATCCCCACTGAACAATGGCCCTGAGTGACGGGTAAAGGTCTAAATTTGAAGCCCTTCACCGGTATATGATGTCGTCTCTAGAGTGAAAAATTCTCTAAAACAACATACAAAAAGCAAAGATTTACCTTGCTGTATGTTTCGGCACTATGAACTATTTTGAGAAAAAGTCAAAGGTCACGAGATCTAAAACTGTAGTATTTTGCGAAAGCCATCGTGACAAACAATGTATGTGGAAAATACTAAATCTATACCTCTTACAGCCCTCGAGATATAGGGTGTGACAGATGGACAGACAGATAGTGATCCTTTTAATACCCTGTTCCACTGTTTATCAGAAATGAAACGTATTAACGATTAGTGACCAAAATCATTTTTAAAAATCCAAATTAGTGTATCTGGTTATGTATATTTTAACCCCGATTCTCTCATTATGTTTGGCTAGAACTTCAACAAATATAAACTAGCAAGATGGCATGGATTGCTTAATGAGTTTGGAGCATTTGGTCATGGAATCATATAACAAAACAATTATTGCCCTTCGGGACTTGATGAATTTTGTACACCTGTCTAAATCATCATATTGACCTCAAAACAGCAATAATTGTATGTACATTATTTCAAACTCTAGGCATGATTCTAGTTTCTATGAACATCTTGTTGAATCTTGTTTGTCATCAACTCACTGAGGTCGAGCAGTGACATCCATGATTATTCCAATATCGTTTTGTTTTTATGAGCCACTGTTACAGTCAATGATTTCTGAACACTTTTTACTTTTCACATGTAAAGCAAAATATTGGGTTATTTAGGTATATTCATTTAATGTATATATACTGCATATATACTACCTTTCTAGGTGTAAAATATTAAACATATGTTTTATTGTATTACATGAGTTTTTTTTATTTTTACGGCGAAAAAGGTATGTATATAAATCCATATAGAATCAAAAACAACAGTGGTATTCTATTGTAAACAATTATTTGGAAAACATCAACTATTCTGAGTGTAAGAGACCGTTTGTGTCATATTTCTCATTATTTTTATTTTCTTTGAAGTTGCATGAAAAAATTGAGAGATACATATATATTGTCCTCTACAAAAATTTAGAATTTTTCAATTTAAATTTGTACTCAGGCTGTGCTAAAATACGACTATGTAGAAATATGAACGTCTTATTTCTCGTATGAACGTCTTGAAGAACTTCTCTTTGAGTTCCCTGACGATGCCGCTCACGGATTCTGTCAGCCACGATCTGCGCTCTTTTCTATCTATGAGTCTTATTAAACAGATTAGAGACAAACTCCAACCAGTGTTTTAACCTTTAATATGAAACTGACAAATTTTGATACAGGTCGGTGTATTCGGGACGGCTGTCCGATTCCGACTGATCATCCAAAACGAATTCAACAGTATATATATAACAATTATAGAGTGACATGTGTAAAAATGACATTTGGAGATAAATAGATAAAGATTTTGACACTTGAGTAAACCCTTAAAATAATTGAGGGCCAGATTATCGTCCTTTTGATGTTATTTTGCCTAAAGATAATTTAGCAATATCAAACGATGACAGGTGTTAAACCCAATTGGCTTGGATGATCCGAAATCGCCGATGTTTTAATTCAATAAAGATTCAGAGTCGTAAATTCAATAAAGAAAATGATTTGAAAAGCTCAAGAATTTAGAAAGAGTTGTTCAAAAAACACAAAACTGTAACTTAATTTTAGAAACTAGAAAAATATCTTATAACAGTAAAATTTTCATCGTGATAATCTATATTACCTTCTCAGTAGTATGTGTGATTTTGTTTTGTTTATCATGGGATTTGCCCATTTTTAAAAGTAATTTCTTTTAGGGGATTTTTGGACTATTAAACAATAATTCAAGCCAATTTTGAAGTTAATTTAAATACATTAGAACTGATGTAATGTAAAGAAGATGAACGATGTTGTCCCATTGAAATTGATCACATAAATTTCCTTGGGGGAAATCCAAATCATTAGGAATATAAAAATATATATATGCACTTTACTTTTCTGCATATTGCAAGCAAATTTTCAGAGATGCAGACACTAACG